AAGTCATGGAAAACATTAGCATCTCTTTTCTCCAGCTGAAGGCTCAACGGTGAATACTTTGTTGCCCTTTCCATCTTAAGAGGCAATTTAACATGCGCAACAGGAAGCCAGTGTTAGGAAATACAATATGAAAATAAACCTTGGATTCAGCCTAAGTACTTCCAAATCCTTTGTCCACAGGATTAAAGAGACTGGCCTGTAAGAAGTCTTTAATACAGCTGCAAATGAAAAAGCTCTACTGTTCTTGTGGGTAGCCCAATATCTTTGACAGAAGTGCTCCCGGGATGGGGGTGGGGAGTCCTCAGAAAATAATTCTAGGCAGTTTTGATCAATTTTGAGCAGGTACTGATGATGTAAACTAGCAAGAAGACCTGGCTGATTGACAACTTGCCAACCACTTGAGATGTTTCATCTGTCAAAGCTCTGTCTTGTTTCTTCCTTAGTATCATGGTTAGCAACTGAAGAATGTCGTAACTTGTGACATCACAAGTGGAGCTCTGTGTTGTCATTTAATCCGATTGTTTAGGAGAGGAGATTGGATTTATACCCCGCCCTTCACTACCCAAAGGAGTCTCAAAACGACTTACAAACTCCTTTCCCTCCTCCTCCCCACAACGGGCACCCTGTGAGGTAGGTGGGGCTGAGAGAGCTCTGACAGAAACTGCTCTTTTTCAAGAACAGCTGTGCCAGACCTATGGCTTGCCCAAGGTCATCCAGCAGCTGCAAGTGGAGGCGTGGGGAATCAAACCCAGGTCTTCCAGATTACAGTCTGTGCACTTAACCACTACACCAAACTGATGAGTGAGTTAGGTACAAAAGAGGGAAAAGAAACACAAAAGCATGAGTGAAGGGCACACTGTCTCAAACCAGAAGGTAAGAAAAAGAATAAAGATCTGGCATATCCTTGTGCCTTGATCAGCAACTCCCTGTGGCTTGGAAGACTTTTTTATTTATTCGATTTATACTCCGCCCTCCCCGCCAAAGCAGGCTCAGGGCGACTCCCTTTGTTTCTAATTGTTGGAGTTGCAATACCATCAGCCATACCACATCATCCAGGTAGAGATAAATAAAATTAATATGATATTATATGAATTATTGTTCATGGGACACCATGATTTCTGACTTGCTAGCCTTTTCCTTTCCACTTCTTTCAATAAGAACCAGTTTGGTGTAGTGGTTAAGTGTGCGGACTCTAATCTGGGAGAACCGGGTTTGATTCCCCACTCCTCCACTTGTACCTGCTGATGTGACCTTGGGTCAGTCACAAGCTCTGGCATAGCTGTTCTTGAAAAATAGCAGTTTCTGTCAGAGCTCTCTCAGCCCCAACCACCTCACAGGGTGTCTGTTGTGGGGAGGGGAAGGGAAAGGAGTTTGTAAGCTGCTCTGAGACTCCAAGTGAAGGGCGGGGTATAAATCCAATCTCTTCTTCTTCTTCAACAATTTGAATTAGTATATTCAAATATTTGTTAGGCGGCCTAGTTAATGATTACCTTAGTACCTCTACTAAGGTACTCCAAGATCTCCATTTCTACTCTACTTGTGTCTGACAAAGGGCGCTTTGACTTTTGAAAGCTTATACCCTGAAACTGTGGCTGGTCGCTAAGGTGCTACTGGACTTGTATCTGTCTCACTATACCGTAGTAACTATTTGAAACTTCTATCTGTTGGTTATGCTCTCATCATTATGACAATGGGCATTACTCTTCGGATGATGAGGTAAAGACTCTGATTTCCCTTGAGCTTAGAGGAGTCTGTTCCTCTTTCTCTGCTTCCAGCTATGAGGACTAAACCACAGTGTCATAAAACAGAGATCTCTTGCAGCTTCATGTTTCCTATTAGCTATCAGAAACTTGGTGAAGTCTTTACAAGGAAAGATTTGTCCAGAAGTTGGTACTGGTGATCACGGCAGCAGAAGTGACCAAAACTATGATCTGCCTGCTTTCTATGGAGGTGGTAAGTATGCTTCCACATTCAGGAGAGGGCCGATCCTGTTTAAGTCATGCTGGCGTAGTCGCTTCTTATACCAAAGGCCATTGTCTTCCTCTCAAGACTACCGATTCTGGTTTCGATATGCTCAGTTGCAAGGGAGAGGTTTCAGTTGGGCCGTACTGTGGAGGTGTGGCATTTAAATGGAAAAGAGGCCTGCCTCCCCTCTAGGAGTGTGATAGATGAAATAGATAAAATGGTTCAGTGGTGATGCAGTAGGTAGGGCTGGATGCGAACCTACACTTCTCCCTTGCTTTTCAGCCAGTTCTCAGCTTAACTTTCTGAAATGGTGAAAGGTTACCATAAGAACAGGAACTTGAGCAGCCATCATGCTGGCACCAATATTTGCAGACTGTATTGTTTTTGTTTAACCTCTCTCTTCTTTCCAAAAATACCCTTGAAGGGGTTTAGGAGAACTGGGGGTTTTCCAGCGTACCAGTGTGGTGTAGGCGGACTCTAATCTGGAGAACTATTACCCAAAGAGGTGGTCTCCTAACTAGCTTGGGGCATTAGCTTTAAGAAGACAGAGCGAAAAGGGGCAACTGGGATTCTCCACCTATGTATACAGGGATTTTTCCCTTTAGAGAAATCTCAAATAAACCAGGCAGATGTTTTCACACCAGAAAGGTTTTTATTAAGACAAAGAATAAAACAAAATGTACACAATAAACACACACGCAAGAGCTAACTAAGAGAAACACGGGGGGGGGGAAGTGATTTTCAGGGAAGGGTGATAATTACCAATCTTGGAGAGGTCCATGGAAAACAGCAAAGTGAACAGTGTTTCAAGAGAAAAGACAGCCCAGCAAAGTGGGGGGTGTATGTGGAGGATCCAGGGCGCACGCGCACACACACACACTGCTAGTCGCCCTGAGCCTGCTTTGGTGGAAACGGTGGGGTATAAATCGAGTAGGGCAAAATGTTCCCTCTGGCAGATATGGTGTGATTGCCAGAAAAACAATAACTTAATGGGCTTTTCTGAGGTGGACGATGCTGTGTGAGAGGTCTGATGACCCTACAAGTACCTGGCAGGAAGGGCTAATGGTTTAGGTGAATATAATTAAGTGTTGCTTAACTAAGGTAAATGGATGCAGAGAATGAGGCTGGGTGTTGATGGAATTAGTCCAAGTGTGAGTCATTTTTTGGAGACCCATTGTCCTAAATTATGCATCTCTCCAGGATGTGGATGGGGCAGTAGACAGTCAACCACTCATGTCCAGGCTTATTTCTGACTGGCATCCATTTTATGTCATTTTGGGCCAGGCAGTGTCTTGCACTTATGATCTTTGAGGTAATAGAATAAAATTTTATTGGAAAAAAATAAATCTTTGAGGTGATCTTTTAAGAAGGCTGTTTATGGTTATTCTAGCTATAAACTGCACCTCAGTGAAAGGAGGGTCCTGACTGCTAACAGCTCCTCCACATGAAGCCTGCTGGGTGATCTTGGGCTAGTCACAGTTCTCTTACAACTCTCTCAGCCCAACCTACCTCACAAGATGACTGTTGTGGGGAGAGGAAGGGAAGGCGATTGTAACCTGCTCTGAGACCCCTTAGGGTGGAAGAAAGCTGGGTATAAAAAACCAACTTCTCTTCTTCAGCCTGTCCCACATTGCAGTTTTTTAAAGTGATAGCCTCTCCCCTGGAAGGAAAAAAAAGGGAGGGGGGATTTCTTGGCCGATCTTTTGGGATTACCTGTTGCCAGTTGAAAAAGCGAAAGGGTCAGCTTTCAGCAGATGACTCCTCAGCCAAGGAGGGAGCCTCGCCTCCCCAAATTGTTGTAAAGGAAAAGTAAGGACTGCAAATATAACACTTTTTAACAGGACAAATTCACCAGAAACTAGTGGGAAGACAGAGGAGGGTTAATCCCAGGGTACCTCTCTTACTAGTAACTCATCACTTAGAAGGAAGAACTGATACAAACCAGTATGTTCATGGTAAGAAGGTGGCCCTATAGACTTCCCCGGGGGAGTGGGGGGTAACTGGAATTTATGGTAAGAAATTAGGTTTTTCTCTGGTAGGGGAAGTCTATTACAGAACGTACTCTGTAGGTGGGCTTCCAGGTGAAAAACAATACCTTTAATACTAGAATCTTTTGTAGGACCTTCGTACCGAGCTACGTCTGCAGAGGAAGCTGTTATCAGCCCAGTAATGGCATATGGACACTCTGCAAAGCTCATCAACAAGGGACGTCAGCCCCAATAGGATGGATGGAAACGGCAACGGGGCAAAGTCATTTTGGCAGCTAAACAATGGCCAAGGCAGATAAATCCATCTCCTGATTCACAGAGCACAACGCCTTTAATGCACCCAAGAACCCCAAGGTGGACCTCCTCCCCCAGGAAAATGCATTGAGTATGGGGGAAGTGGGATTTCCACCCATAACTCCTCCCCCATCTTTTAACTCTTGACAACTTCTGGCGGTCCGGTGATCACTGCATAAGGCCTGTAGTGACAGCAATTTCAAAAAGACAAACACGAACCCGAGGTCTTTGCAGAAGGAAACCTGTTGAAATTTAGATTGCCAAAGCTGCTCAGGTCAGGTCCTACGAGAATCAGAAGAGCTTCTTATGGACTAAGAAATAGAACGGCCCATTGGCACTTACCGTGAAGGGTCTTTCTCCTCTGAGGTCAGGAGGACTAAGACCAGTGTTCCCTCTAAGCTGAGTTAGTGTGAGCTAGCTCACAGTTTTTTAGCCTCCAGCTCACAGAATTTTGTCTTCGCTCAGGAAGGAAGGCTCCGGAGCAAACTAATTTACGCAGTAACCAAATTGCTCTCTCACAACTTTAATGCCAGGAGCTCACAAAGTAGAATTTTTGCTCACAAGACTCCACAGCTTAGAGGGAACATTGACTAAGACATAGAAGTAATCAGGTACTCGTGTATGTCCCTCCATGGGACTGAACCTCCCCCACTTTCAAACTGAAGCGTGTAAAAAGCATGCCATAAAACAACAAGCCATGTGAGCCCTTTTATCATGACAATAAACATTTATTTGAACTGAAGTATAGCTGCCGTTTCTGGCTGCTGCCAGCAGGAAACAATAAATAGCTGAGTCTTATTGCTTCAGGAGGGAGGAACAGGCTTCGTCTGTTTAATACAGGAATCATTTATACAACACACAGTATATGAGACAAATATAATCATTTGGGGATGGAAACTATACATTATGAGAAATACGAGTCCGCCCTTTCAAACAGCACCTCCATATTTTTTCTCCTCCTCTTCTATAATGTGCAGCAAAAGCCACCCCCACGTCACAACGTTGTGTATTTGCCCGCTCCACAGGTAACACACAAGGATGCTGTCAGGTCTCTGGGTGAATTTCATCACTCCATTATGAAAGGGGAAGACTTAACATGGAGATGTTTCCAGCAGCAGCCTCATTTTTCTCACTGAGACTCAGATCTTCCCTAGGACTCTGCCCAAAGTCAGCGGGAAGTCTGGAATCAACATTAATGGCATTTGGATTCACTGAAAATAATGAAATCAGGCACCACAGCAGTGCAATTCTAATTAGTTTCACTCTTTTAAATCCACTGACATCAGTGGGCTTAGAAGGATATGAGCCCCGCTATGGACTGCACCTTCAAAAAGCCAAACACTTTCAGGGACTTTCAGTTTTGGCTAAAAGCCACGGTATTTGACCATAATGGTAACTTCTAAAAATACTGCCTAAGCCACATAGTGTGGAGTTCCAAATTTCCAATGCAGAATATCATCACAACACACTTACATGGGAACCACAACTGTCCAAAGTAATTGGAGCTTATCTATATGGGAAACAAGAAAATTAAACAGATTTTTGTCTCATAAAGCACTGCTATCCTTTTTTAATTTGTCGCATAAAGGGACTAAGGTTAAGTGGACTATTACATGATGGGGGGGGGGATATTCTTGCACGTTAGTGGAAGCCCAGGTTTCAGTCTCCAGATCTGGAGTTTTCCAAATGTTCTACATGCAAATGTTAACCAAGACCCTCTTATGGTTACAATAAAAATAAATAATACATTTTATTCACAAGAAAAAAGACCCCCCAACTAGAGAAGAACTTTTGTTTCAACCAACAGTGCTCGAGTGTTCCATTAAAATACCAGCCAGCTGTACATTAAGGTATAAGCACAACCATTTAAAAATGTAGTACACAAGTAATCTAATAACTAACAATTAAAAAAACAAACAGCACGTACATCATTTATGTGGCTATTCTGCATATTGGCATGCCGAAAGAAATGTAACTAAATCAGTGTCGGATCTTATTAGCTTTCCTATGGAAGTGGTGCCAGCAAAGAATTTACTGCATCTTTGTATTGCTAAAAAGCACATTCCATTGTCTGGAGGTTTAAACAGACATAAACATTTAGGTTAATCGTTTAAAACAGATGAGTGAATACTGTGAAATATGCTGTGGACATTACAAAAAATGCATTTTGCATCTTGCACCTAATATGTCTAGAACACAGTTCGAAACAAGTTTTATCTTGGTACAGTAAAGGATTTTCAGTTTGTTGTTGTTGTTGTTGTTATTGTTTTGGTGAGCAACCACGGCCGTAACGTCTGCTGTTTGCAGCATCTCGGGGAAAAAAGGTTTTAACACTGTATCAGTTCTGATACACTGATCATACACACATTCAAAATTACAGATATTTACAAGGGGAATAAAAGATATATTTAATTTAAAAAGCTGCTGAAAAACATGGACTTCTTTAGCCAGCTGTTGCACTTGCTGCAGAATGAGGTAATTTAAATGCAAACAAGTTAAGTCTAGTAGAGTTCAGGGCCCATGCTATCTACACTTAAGCACAGACAGCTTCAGTGAATGGATTGGACGTACTATGCATTGTAAGGAAGAAGAAAATCATTGGATCCAGTTAAATCTTGGTTTGCAGTGCTCTTTATGCAGGACTGACTAAATGTCAGAAGGCTTCCCAGCTTGATTTGACAACTGGTCTTTCAATAGAAAGAAAGAAAAATGGTAAATTCATTATAAATTAGTTTCATCCCAGGAAGGATCATTCATGCTCTTTAGAACTTTCCGGACAAGCTTTTCAAGCTCCTTGCGAGCTCTTTGTTCTTCTTCCAATGATTTCTTCATCTTTTTGTTATCCTGGCAAACAAAAGATAAACATATTATGCTAACTTGTCCTGAATGGCTAAAAGACTGCTTCTCATCAAGATGCCCAGTTTTGCAAAGGGAAGGCAAGGGAGCCCATCCCAGTGCGGGCCTGGTGCAGACTTCTGCTCTTGCATTGCCTTGTTTTGTTATCCAGTGCCCAGAGAAGAGGAGACCTGGCTCAATGGTGGTAATGACAACTGAAAAGCTACGCCTTTCAAACACACTGTGCAGTAGCCTGCCTTAAGGTGGAGGAAGTTCCTCTGGACTAATCAGCCTTTGTCTAACTTAAGTGGTTCTTCCACTGGAGAAAGGCTTCAGACTTCACTTAGTGAAGCACTGCACGTCCAGCAATGGTGACCCATAATAGTAACTGCCAACAGTAGCACAGTAAAGTTATGTGGATACTTGACCCCCACTGACACCATATGTAGACCGAAAAGAGAAAAGAGTCCAGTAGCAAAGACTAACAAAATCTGTGGCAGGGGATGAGCTTCCGTGAGCCACTGCTCACTTCTTCAGATACAGTGACTCATGAAAGCTCATCCCCTGCCACAAATTTTGTTTGTCTTTAACTTGCTACTGGACTCTTTTCTACTGCTTAACACGGCTACCACCTTGATATGTAGACAGATATAAGAAGAATCAGTAAAACCATTCAGTACCAGCTACCTCCTTCAACACCCCCTGCTGACACTGGCCAGTAACAATACATGCTGGTGGAAGCACAAATAGCAATGTGCCTTCCATTCAATTATACTAGGAAACAGTATTGTCACCAGGACTTATAAGCTCTATGTGCTGGCTCTGGCCAGTTGCCCCGAACACAATATACTTAAGCTACATGCAAAGTCCAAACGAAGCCGAGAAACAGTGCCAGGGGTCGGAATGCTGGGAGAGCAATCAGAGTTCTCAGGAGCGAGGAGCGGAGGCTGGCAGAACAAGGTCCAAGATTGCACGGTTGCGTCCACACCAAGACAGGTGAGCGTGGCTGCTTATAACCGGATCCTCCCTTCCCTGGGAGGCAACCTGCAAAGACTCACAGCCCCTCATGTTGCCTTTGCAACAGCTGAAGTCTGGCACTCTTCCTTCTCTCCTGCACCTCCAGACGCTGGCATGCCCTGCGTCTGGGACATCCAGGTGAGCTAGGTGGGGACTCTGGCCTCAAGATGTCTCCAACTGGGGGTGCTGGGCCAGGCTCTGGACCAGGCTCTTCCTCCACCTGCATCTCAGGCTCTTTGCCTTGCTGCCCCTCCTGCGCAGATGCTGGAGCCTCTTTTCCCTCAGGTGCTGGCAAAGTTTCCTCTTCTAGGCCGACTCCAAAGGAGGCTGGGTTGCTCCGTGCCTCTTCCTCGTCTGAGGAATAGTCAGCCTTGGCTGAGCCAGGACCCATGACACTCTATCACCCATTCCTGAGCATAGCTATGAAGTGACACTTTACCTTAGGGGTCCCAAAAGTGGTGCCCATGGGTGCTGTGGCACCCACTGCCACCATTATGCAAGGATCATCACGGTATGACTGAAGGTAAGCTATGGCACACATTTTGTGGCTGGTTCAGCCTCCCATGGCAGCCATTTTGTTGCTGTGCTCACCGCGCTGTGTCAGAATTCCAAAGATTACCGGAAGATATTAAATCACATACACATATAATTGTATATATTTTAACGGCAGCCAGAATTCTGATAGCAAGATGCTGGAAATCTAAAAGAATACCATCTATAGGAGAACTCAAAAATATGGTGATGGGAATAGCTGAAATGGACAATTTAAATACAACACTACAAAATAAACCAGAGGAACTTTTTTGGGACAGATGGAGATTATTTTATGACTGGCTGAAGATGAAAAAGATAAATTAAAACTGAATTATGCTGTCCTGACTCTGAGTGTTGATAAAGCATGCAATGTATCTTCTACCAACCTGTCTTAATTCCTGTACTTCATCCTTTAATGCATATACTGTGTCCACAAGACTTCTGGAACAGAAAATTAAGATAAAAAAACTTTCACGACATGTAAATGAGTTATGTAAAGTCACATCAAGGATAATCAGCAGGTTTTAAATTACAAAGCACGTAATTCAGAATGGAAACGAAAGTAACACAGCCATCATAACATTACTCCCTCCCCCACTCTATCTACAGTACATTTCAGTCTGTTCTGTAACATTTTCAAGTCCTCATCCTTGAGTAAATGCGTATCCATGCAGCATAAAATCATTGTCCAGTTAGTGTGTGATCCACTACCAGATGCTGTTCACCTGAAATCCTGTTTGTCTGAACAGGGTTTGAGCTAAAGAAACACCTGCTAAGAGCCTTTAATAAACTGTATGTTCTAAGAGAAGCGCAATGCATTTATCAACACTAAAGCATTCTATAGACCCTACAAATTAATAATCCCATAGCACTCAAGAATGCCACCTTACCCACAAAATTGATCAATTCCCAGCTGGTACAAGGATGAAGGAAGAAAGATGCAAAGAGAAAAGTTAGAGAACCCAAGAAGGTTGACATTCATCAAAATGGGCTACACAGGACTGGCAGTGCACACTTCAGGAAAATCAGAAATGAATTCCAGTAGGATATTCATCTTCTTAAACATAAAGGTAAATACTGTGCAAGAGACAAATTCACGGAAAGCTGAAAAACGACACACAGCATTTCCTACTTGCAAGAACGTGAAGCTGACCATTTAAAAATTCATCATTTGCTTTAAAAAAAACGCTTACTTTTCTTCTATCACAGTTTGACCATTACTTTTTGTTTCTTCTACAATAATTTTCTCTTCCTCTGGAAGCAGCACTTGGGGAGCAGATTCTTTACGGGAGCCTAATGCAAAATAATAATAGAATTAAAAGATAAACATCGAGACCGCGGGTAAGGCATTTGACAGAATGCTTAAAAAAAAAAAAAAACCTGCCCAAGATGATGATGATGATTAGGAAGTTATTTGAATTAGTGTTCGTGGAACAATATGGCATTTGACCTGCCAGCCCTTTACTTTGAAAGGGTGCGATACAGTGATCTCCCCACCATAGGTCCATTCCCACTTCAGAGAAAATGGCCAACAAATTGCTACATTTCCCCCCCCCCACTGTTTTGATTCCTTTGTTCAGCTACTGAAAACGCAACACATAGAACCACTAATAGATCACAGCGCAAGGTAATAAATTAAACCAACATATTTTTGGAGCTACGGTGGCTCAAGTGGTTAAGACGCTGAACTGCAGGCTGTGGAAGGTCAGTAGTTCAGCAGTTCGAGACCCAGGTTGCCGCATGACAGAGTGAGCTCCCGTCTCTAGTTCCAGCTCCTGCCAACCTAGCAGTTCGAAAGCAAGAAATTGCAAGTAGATAAATAGGTACCACTTCGGTGGGAAGGTAACAGCGTTCCGTGCGCCTTGGTGTTTAGTCATGCCGGCCACATGACCACGGAAACATCTTGGGACAGCGCTGGCTTTGAGACGGAGATGAGCACCGCAACCCTAGAGTCGGACTCGACTGGCTTTCGAGCAAGGGAACCTTTACCTTTAACATATTTTTAAACTTCTATTTATCTAGGCAAAACTGCCACTCTTCGACCGACAGTGACCTCGTGCACCATAAAGCACACAAAATAAAACAGGAGTCCAGTGTCACTTTAAAGACTAAATTTATTCCCACATAAACTTTCGGACTCAGAGGTCACTTCATCAGGTGCGCAGGCATATAAATGCATTCCATGTTTTCTGAAAATATTTGGGGATGGCAAATAACAACAGAATAGGGCACTCTCCTGTTGTGGTTAGTTACTCAAAGCAGAATTACAACATTACATTCTGTTACATCCTCCTCACAACTCAGAGTACTGAATGAAAAAAAATCTAAAGAAACCAGAATTTGCCTCCGCCTTTACATTCCCCTTTTGTTAATGCTCTCAGAGATAACTGAAAATATAGAGGGCACCTAAGAGTAGCTCAGTCTAACCCTGTTCTCTACTATTCCTACTATGGTCAAAGAGACTTCACAACAGCTAAAGAGAGACAGTGTCACCAGGCCTACAGAGACAATCAGTTTTACCACACTTTACTGCATCTGATGTGCAGTAAAATTCTCCTCACAACCTGACAAGATGACAGCAGATTAAGAAGAAAATTGTGCTGTCAAATTGCAACCATTTCACGGCAGCCCCAACCATGGGATGTTCAAGGGAAGAGATGAGCAGAGATGGTTTGCCATCGCCTTCCTCTGTGTTAACAACAACCACAAGTACTGATCAGGGCTTAGCACCCGAGCCTTGACAAACTTGGGCCAAACTAGGAATTTCAGGCTGGTGACAGCAGATTACCAAGTGCTTATTTGCATATGTTGGTGAAGTCCCCACTTGGTAAACAATCATTGGAATCTATGGTTAGAAATCTCAATAAAAACATTGACACAGAAGTTGCTGTGTTTCTACAAGAAGTACAGTGGCTGAAAGCAAAATCAAAAGCATTTTTATACTGCAAACACAGAACAAGGAAGATACGAAACAAGTCTGTTTTTGTTCTATACTTTTCCCTAACTTGCTTTATTTCCTGGAAATTCAAAGACGTTACATGGAGGACAGATCGGGGGAATAATAAACATTGTGGTGCGTTTTAAAATCTCGCAATAAATAAATAGCAGATTGTGTGCATCCAAAACAATTCGGCAGGAGAAACGCTTCTGAGCCAGCAAATAATAAAAGGATACTCTCAAAGAACACAGAACTAATCAAAAAAGGAACCGGGCAGCACTGAATGGATTCTGTGTGGCTTTGCAGACGCAATCATAATACATCCTTAACATCCCTTTAATGTGTTGCAAATTCAATTCCTGCATATTTTAATTTGACCGCTGAACTGAAATAAAAGCTATTATGACATTTAAGATACTGAAGGGTAGTACGGCAATGAAAACATTTTTGCTCATTGTGCTCTGTAAGTCACAAGTAGTATGTATTATTTCCAAACATCCTGAGCAGTAGCTTCCTAACAGCAACTAAAAATCCAAACGTAGTGTCATTTTGACCCACTCCCCTAAGAAAGATGAATAAGTATTCCATTGTCTTGATTTCACAGATGGTACAATAACTGCAGGAAGAAATTATGTCAGGAAATGAATGAAGTTTAGAAACCTTAAAACTACAAAATACTCTTACCCGGGGGGGCCCCAACAGACTCCCCCGGGGCACCACGGCACCCGCCAACACCTTTCTTGGTGCCCACCAAGTGTTTCTAGAAAGTAAGTGGGGCTGGGTGGGGCTGCTGCCCAACAGAACTTCTTACTACTCACTGAAGATTAAAACAACGTTGCTTAAAATTAAATTAAATAGATTAAAACAACATTGTTTCAGTGGCAGCTGCCATGACAGTGTTTGTTTTACTCTGTCTCACGCTCTCTTGCAATGTATTTTTTAAATTACCCCGTCTTCTTCCCAGTCATTTTGTGGTTGCACCCTCCACCCTTTGTCAGAATGCCAAAGGTGCTCACAGGCTCAAAACAGTTGGGGGGCCCTGCTCATATCAGTACATGGTAAACAACAATTCTATCAAATACTAAGAGCACAAACCATTGAAAATGCCAGGAGCAAACAGACTCAATTCTCAGGCCATGTTATAACTATTTCTCTGTATCAGTGACCATAACATACCTCTAAACCTTCAGCCTGAACTCAACTATGTTTACTCAGGAAAACGTTTCAACTGTATGCTCCCCCCCAGGGCCGGCTCACTCACTAAGCGAACTAGGCGATTGCCTAAAGCGGGACGGCCCTTAGGGGCGCCAAACTGAACCCGGCCCCGTACTCTGGAAGTTTCTTGATTATTTGTGTTTTTCATTCTTCCTAAAATGCATTTATTTTTGAAAATTGGTGGGCGCACGCGGGGCCCGGGGGAACTCCGCCCCGGCGTGCGCGTCACCCGGAAGTGATGTCGCACGCTGGGGGTGGGGCCACGCCATTTGAGGGGAAAACTCTTTGTTTTCCCCTTAAATGGCGTGGCCCCGCCCAGCGTGCGACGTCACTTCCGGGTGACGCTTTGGCGGCACGCGCGCGCTTATCCGCAGACGGCTCCCGGACCAGCAGGACGCTCCTCCGCCAGTACGTTTTTCGGATTTGGCAACCCTATCCCCCCCCCCATACTATTCATGCTTAGGACTGCAATTCTTGTGTCTCAATCCGAATACTTATAATATTAAAGCTGATCAGAATTTTTGTTTAAGTCTTCCATGCTGTTAAGATAACATGGAAAAGCATGATTTTGCACTGAAGGGATGAACTGAAATGAAGGCACAGCAAAGCTCCGTATGCTTTTGCTCATCAAAAGTATAATTGTTTTAGCCTTGACACTTTAACCCAGGTAAGATTGATCTCATCAGATCTTGGAAGCTAAGTAGGGCCAACCCTGGCAAGTACAGTCAGTCATACCTTTTATTGGCATACTCGGACACAGTACAAGATAGGAACAAACAAAATATACAGTTCAAGATTAAGAACAAATATATATAAAATTCATGGTGAGACATGCCCCTCATAAATTTTAATAGACTCCTCCAGGAATTTAGCTCTTGTGATTTCTATTTCATTATCTTTTAATAAACCACAATAGTCAATCCATTTACCAGATTACAGGGAGGGAGAGAGAGATTACCAAACAGTTCCCTTCGGGGATTAGAATATAGCTGGCAGTCCAGCAAAATATGCTGGATGGAATCTGGAATATTTGCCCCACAAGGACAGACTCTCTCACTATATGGAATTTGGAGGAATCTACCATAAACAATGTTTGAAGAAAAGGAATTCATCCTAGCCAACATAAATGCTCTCCTTTGTTGGGGGCTTTCAAGATCACTCAAATAGTTGGCCATTTTCCCAATGGGCTGAGCAAGACCAAGCGCCACAGGCGAGCATATATAATATTGAACAGGACATAACTTAGTAAATTCTAAATCAAGGAGCCTTTGTTTAATTAGTCTAAAATTATAGGATTCATCAGATAGGAACAGGTTTTCCATTGCAATTCCTATGTGTTAAAGTTTATCTGTAATCCTGTCCAACCATACAGCATTATAAGTGTCTTTTTTAAGATAGCTAAGCAAGCTATTGGATTCTGCCCTATAATAAATTCGAAGCCAATATTTAAAGGTTAGGATCCATGCTTTGGTTTCTATTAGGTGCAAACCTGTTCCCACACAAATTGCAGTATAAGGTACACATTTAGGCACTCCAAGAAGTTGATGCAAGAATATGGCCTGAATATTTTCTGTTTTCTGATTCAGGGCATTAATCCACACAGGAATACCATAGAGCATTTGAGATAGAGTTTTAGCCTGAAAAACTTTGTTTGCTGCAGGGAAATATTGATTGTTTAATGTTTAATCTGATTGTTTAAAATGTTTAATCTGAGAGGAAGAGAAATTAGCTGTATTAATTATTATGTTACGATGAACTACCCATTTAAGATTGTAATTGAACGTTAAGCCTAGATATTTATAACATTTGGTTTGTTCAATTTCTTGATTACCAATATACCATTTTTGTGGGCGCCAACTTTTAGAGAAAACTACAACCTTCGAATTAGAATAGTTAATAGAGAGTGAATTTAGATAGCAATAGTTATCCAAGGCTTTCAGATATCTCTGTAATCCCACTCTTGTATGGGAAAGAATGGTTGTATCATCAGCATACAATAATAGTGGAACTGAGAGTTCATTTAGCTTGAGTGGATGCCCATTTATAGATTTAAAAAATTGCAGTAAATAATTTAGGAATAGATTAAAAAGATATGGAGCCAATACACACCCTTGTTTAACTCCTTTAAAAACATGTATCT